ACTAAGTTGGTATTGTGAATTGTAGATTCAGAAAATGGCGCGAGGCCTGTCGTCGCAATATTGGTGGTGTCCTTATGTGATTAAAATTGATCGCGTGTGCAACTGCTGATCTATTGGCGACTTCTGCTACCGTAGTTGATGAACTGCATTTCTAATGTCGGACTGTTTGTGTTAGCACTTCTGATGGCTACCGTATGCTTTTAATGCGTGTGTATGCTAGTGCATGTGCTGAGACAGAGGTCTGTCCATCTTTACACAAGGGACTGCGACGAACATTGTGTGTGTTCTTCGTTGGCACAGGAGTGGAGCAACTGTGGGGTGACCCGTTTGCTATGAAGTTGAAACTAACATTACCAAGATTACCAAGATACACACACACACACACACACACACACACACACATATATATATATATATATATATATATATATATATATATATATATATATATATATATATATATATATATATATATATATATATATATATGTGTGTGTGTGTGTGTGTGTGTTTGTGTGTGTGTGTGCGCGCGCGCGTGTGTGTGTGTGTACATATATATACACACATAATATGATATTCATTCATCCACTGTACATAGGGCTCGCTGTCTATATCTCTATTCCATTTGATCCTGTGCAATTACTTCAATGTCATCGATAAAATCCAGTCCCACGCCTTTGCCCTTTTTCGTCTACGTTCGTCTTGGGGTTTATCCTAGGCAACCTCGTTTTCCCAGTAGGCCGCCTCCATTCATTTCTTTGACTGGCCTTTCCTTTCCACTTGGTGACTCCATCTTCGTGTAGGTATTTATGTATATTTTCTCTTCTTCGTCGTCTTTTTGGTTATCCTCATGGTTCACTTCCATTCACCTCTTTTGTAAAATCAATGTGTATCTCTCTGTTGTCTGCCATTTTTCTCTTTACGTCCAAGGATTTCCCCTTTCAGTGCCTGTTGGTGACTATTTGTCTCTTCTCAGAATCCAATGTAGCGCCATCTTCTCTTACAAATGTTGAGACCAGGCATTTATGTGATTTCTTCTCTCCTCTTGAATTCACCCCCTTCTGTGTTCATTATTTTCCTCAGGAATCTGTTTTCTAATGCAGTTAACTTTCGTCCGATATCTATAAAGACTCTGCTCAACTTTCCATACCATGTGTTAAAACTGAAATAACAGTATGCATGAAAATGTATAACTTGCCTCGAAAACTGCACATTTTTGAGTTCTTATATTTTGTTCAAGCTTTTAAAAGTTCCCAATGCCCTACCAGTGTAAACTCCAGTGGAAAATATGTGATTGTTAGTCCACTTCTGAAGTCTGGTTTTGTCCCAGAACTTAAATTGTGTGTGCCCATCAGTTTCACGAATTTGATTTATTTGTATGCAGACTATTGGTTCCTCGCCTCTCAGGCAGATGCACATCGATTTCGAAGGATACACTTGTTAGACGCTCAGTGGGTATGTTCCTCCCTCCCTCTTCCACCCCCAAATGGGGTGCTGGAGCAAGAACCATCTTAACATCATTTCCAAACCAGTGCGCTGGGGTCCCGTTGATAATCACTCACCGGAATGAAATGTAAATGGTCGATAATATTAAACATATACACAGGTTAGTTTGGGACCCTTAGTCTCTTGGGGCCCCAGGGCAAGAGCGAGTTTACGCAGTTCAAACTGTCACTCAGGAAGAAAAGAAACCAAAAACATAAAACCAAACAAAAAAGCCTCACCAGTAATCACTTCTACAGGCAGCAGTACCAGCACCGTTAACCAGTTGAACATATCATGGACTGTGCCTCCAGCGAAGGCTCTTCTGAACTCGTCTCTGTTGCCGATCTGTCCCATAGCCACAATCGTGTTGGTCACTGACGTGCCAATGTTTGCGCCCATTACTATAGGAATGGCTGTCTTGATGTTCAGAACTGGGCAAACATAGAATCAACGAGTCAACAAAAACTTCTTCCTATTATGATTGAAAAGCACTAGCCTTAGTCATTGTCTTAGTCGAGGTTTCAACTTTACTGCAATCGGGTTTCCTCGTACTTGCTCCATTCCTGTGCCAGTGACAACCAAATGAAATGTCCCTCCCTTTCGCATTTGAAAAACCGGTTAACAATTAGTCCTGGAACAATCCAATAATGTTTTAGCAAAAACACAAAGTAACCACTGGAAATACAGAAAAGACGTTTGGGGCCAGGGGGGGGGGGGGCACTCTTCTTCTTGATTAGGGCCGTGTTTAAAAGCTCAGAAAGTTCTGGTTGTTCATCCCCTACTGGACTTTAGTCTTCTTCTGGAACTTGAGTTTTGCGTGCGCATCCACTTTACAAATCTGGCTTACTTGTATGCCGAATGCCGACTGTTGGTTCCTCATCAGTCTGGTTGATGCGCTCCGACTTTAGAGAGAAAATCTCTAATTAGTCGCCTTTTACGTCATGCCTCTTGCAGGTGCAGTGGGGTCTATCTCTTTCCCTAAACTGGGGCCCTGGAACCCACACGTGGACACAATGGTATTGTCATGACCCTGTTTGGGCTTGACGGTCAAGGCATAAAGAAACCTTCCCCCATGGGTTCCGGGGCCCCATTGTGGGGAAAACAAGATTAGACCCACTGCCTGCCCAAAAGCATGTCGTAAGAGTTGACTAATTAAGAGCTTCCTTCGAGGTCGGAGTACATCTGCTTAAGAGGTGAGGAGCCAATGATCTGCATGCAAATTAGTCAGACTGTGAAACGGATGTACACGCAACCCTGAATTTGTGGAGCAGGACTGGAGTCCAGAAGTGGACGAACAACCAGAACTTTCGCCGAGTTTAAAGCTGGTGAACGCGAAGAAGAAAGCAGATAAAGAAAACCACAGCATGCACACTTGGCAGAACAGGATAACCAAAGCCTGGCGAAAACAAACGTTATGCAAATGAAGACCTCAGTACCTGTATCATTTATGCCCCGCTTGAATACATTTGTTTTTTCATACAACCTCCAGTGTGTCTAAGCCATCTGAGCCTTCGTAGAGTGAGCATTGAAACAATTGTTGTGATCTATGCTCGTTCCGACACATCAATGTTTTGTTTGTGATTCTGTAGTTTACTTACTTTTCCTCACCTTACTCGTCCACTGTCAGCTGCAACCATAAATCATTACCCACTAAAATTACTCTCGTCATGGTTACAGTAAACATTAGGTGATGTCAACAAATTTCTGCCAGGATTCATGACGAATTAATGACGAATGAATGAATGAATGAATGAATGAATGAATGAATGAATGAATGAATGAATGAATGAATGAATGAATGAATGAATGAATGAATGAATGAATGAATTGACACCATTGCAGTCTGGACATTACCATACGAATGACAAGGGAAGTTACTCTCAGCGAGGTTACAATTAATGACAACTGCTTCACCATAATATCTAAAACAAGCAGCCACTGAGAGAAAGCTCAGACGTTAAATTATCTAAAACAAGCAGCCACTAAGAGAAAGCTCAGACGTTAAATTATCTAAAACAAGCAGCCACTGAGAGAAAGCTCAGACGTTAAATTATCTAAAACAAGCAGCCACTGAGAGAAAGCTCAGACGTTAAATTATCTAAAACAAGCAGCCACTGAGAGAAAGCTCAGACGTTATATTATCTAAAACAAGCAGCCACTGAGAGAAAGCTCAGACGTTAAATTATCTAAAACAAGCAACCACTGAGAGAAAGCTCAGACGTTATATTATCTAAAGCAAGCAACCACTGAGAGAAAGCTCAGACGTTATATTATCTAAAGCAAGCAGCCACTGAGAGAAAGCTCAGACGTTAAATTATCTAAAACAAGCAACCACTGAGAGAAAGCTTAGACGTTATATTATCTAAAGCAAGCAACCACTGAGAGAAAGCTCAGACGTTATATTATCTAAAGCAAGCAGCCACTGAGAGAAAGTTCAGACGTTATATTATCTAAAACAAGCAGCCACTGAGAGAAAGCTCAGACGTTATATTATCTAAAACAAGCAGCCACTGAGAGAAAGCTCAGACGTTAAATTATCTAAAACAAGCAGCCACTGAGAGAAAGCTCAGACGTTATATTATCTAAAGCAAGCAACCACTGAGAGAAAGCTCAGACGTTATATTATCTAAAGCAAGCAACCACTGAGAGAAAGCTCAGACGTTAAATTATCTAAAACAAGCAGCCACTTACTAATAGCGCAGACCGTTAATTATCTAAAAGAAAAATAACATTTTTAAAACGACATAGTTAACACCAACAACGTCAACATAATGTCCTTGATCCTACGCCAAAGTCAAAGTTTAATTTTTGTTGTTCCGATTTTCACCTCAGTTCATTTTTCGGGCTGTTATTTGTCACTGTACAATATACCTAAGACACACATGTGAATTCTCACTCCAAATAGGTCAAAATGAAATATTACTTTTCATTCTTTCAGTAACAAAATATTTTACAGGAGAAGGGGTGCAAATAACGAGTCCAGTTCTTTCAAAATAGCACTATACACATGGCTGGCGACTACTGAGGAAGCCTGGTTTAATTTATATGTTCTCTTAAAATGTTAAATATAAAGAGAAAACATGGTTCTTTAATTTTTGTTCACCCCCATCTCGGGGCCTCTGAGATTTCGTGGGGAATTCCCGGGAAAGCACCATAGTATAGTTTTAAGGTTAGTTAAGGTTAGTGTTAGTCTGTGTGTGTTTTTATTTTCTCACATGAACGAACGAACGAACGAAAGTAACATACACTGAATATTATGACGCAACAAACGCCGAAAACATTATAAAACCAACACAATCACACAGAAAGACAGTTAATTGCACAGTCGTTCACGCAAAAGAAAGTTGCGCACTTTCGTGGGGAAGACAGTTTGTCCACAGTATCAACCCGGTGCACACACTTTCTCGAACACTATATGAACACTGAACTCGTCATGTGATAACACCCCTATACAAATGTGACTTTGGTGGCAGTGAATCCACCATTGTTGCCACTTTGAATCTTTTATATCCAAATTTAGATCTTTTTCATTGCATTGACGTTTAGATCGTAAATATTTTTATAGACACTTTTCATTGGGAGTTAAATATTTCATAGATTTTTTTTTTCTTTCATTGTCAATTTAATAATTACTGTGTATAATATTTACTACAATATTTTTGTTGTGGTCTGGCACGTACATTGTGACAACTGCCATTACTTGAACTTTGAACTCTCACTGGGGTCAACGCACAAATATCTGGCAGCCCCGGTACTGATTAATAAAAACGCACGTAAATCATACTAACTTTGTTGCAACCGTATCCTCACTGTGCTGACTTTGCGTTTCTTTTTCATGTGATTTAAAACAAAAAATTGCTCACTTATTTATGTGGCTTTCACTTTGAAAAAACCTTTCAACATGCCTAAAGTAAAGTATAAGATGGCGTTTTATGCCAGTTTAAAGAAGCTAACTCCATCGTTAATACTTTACTAAATTTACCAAGGGATTTGGAATACCTTATTCGCTTAAAAACACTTTACTGTCAGACAACATCAATACAATGCCTTGAATGATGGTTCCACACCACCGAAAATTCTGTCAGATTGCAAAAACTAGATGGTTATCAATTTAACCAGCTGTTGATTGAAATTAAAGCCTATGGCTGAAGTTGAAGACACACTTTGAAATAACAAGACAAAGTGAAAAGTGCTTCACAGCTGAAATACTACATGGAATTTACAGTGATGAAAAAAAATTGTTATTCATTCTCTTTTTATAACCTATTCTAATGGAAGTGCAAAAAGTTAATAAACTGTTCGAATCTAAACTTGTTGATAAAGTTAAATTACTTGATGATATACCTCACCTTGCTATTTCACTCAGTAAAAGACTGGTGTTGCCAACTTCTAAAGCTTCTAAAGCTTTTTTGCTCACTTGCACTATAGAGAGCTATTTGGCTCCTAAGCCACACCTTGGATATTAAATCGAATCAAAAATTGATGATTTAAAAACAAAAGGACTGTTAACAGAGAATGAAGAGAACAACCTAAGAAAACGCTGTCAAGATTTCCTAATCTCATTATTGAAGCAGAGACTTCCTGAAAATCTAAATGTTTTGAAAAATATTTCACTTTTTTCTGTGAGCAACATACTTCAGCCAAAAAGGATATACCTAAATATTGTAAAGTTATGAAAATTTTAGGGGCTATTGATAATAGTGTCGCGGAAGCAGAATATCAGTTAACCAAAATAAAGTTAGCTGAATGGACAAACAAAACAGAAACTAAAGCGTTTTGGAGTGAAGTGAGACAATTTAAAGATGCCTCAATAAACAGTCCATTCTGTAAGCTCTTTAAAGTGCTATGTCTGCCATGATACTACCCCACTCAAAATGCTGACGTAGAAAGAGTTTTCAGTGCTAGGAGTTATATCAAATCTAACCTAAAAAACAGGATGAAATTTGACCTCTTAAATGCTATTGTGCCATTAAAATTCGGCCTGATGAGACTAGAGAAATAAGCCTACTGTTCCACTTATAAAGAAATTTGAACAGCTAAAGCATACCAGGGTCATTTTAGATCTGAAGCTTCAACTTCATTATCCAAGCTAAGTTTATCCTGTGAATCTTGTGAGGCAGACATCAGTGAAGGTGAGGACATGATTATGTAGGGTAAGTCATAACAAAAGCTTTGTAATTTTTGACTTTTTCAATGTGGATGTTTTTTCTAGATCTTTTCCACGCAGATTTAGATCTTTTTAGATATTTTATCGACACCGTTTTGGATATTTTTTGTCAAAGAAAAGTGGCAACACTGGAATCCACATCACTCGCCAGAATGGCAGACTTGGGAATTAAGATCGGCACAGCAAAAAACGAGACTCACACCAGACACGCCAGAAGACTTGTTAATCAATGATGATAACCTAACTAACTAACTAACAAATGTGACTTTCCCCGGAACTACCTATGAAATCTCTTAGGCCCCGTGTTAGGGTAAAATAAAAGAATCGAATACATTGTATTATGGAGAGAAACCAATGGGTAAAGTCATTCAATCATCAGACATTGCTTGTTACTGAAAGAGTTAGCGCAACTACCTAATTTTCCTTTGCTATAGTCTCTACATACTCTTCGCTTGCTGTTGATAGGGAAACAGATCGCTTGTTGGAGTGTCTCGAGTGCTATGATATCGATTTTAATTCAACATTCAACATCCTTTGCTAAAGTGTAATTTTTCAGATATTTCAATGTTTTAATTTTTTTCGAAATACAAAATGGTAACACTTAAGTGACTTTGGCATATGGCCAACGATGTGTACAACACTCAACTACTGACTGCCAGCTCCGACCATGCTGACCACCACACTCGTGGACGTGGAGGAACTCTGTACCAGTACGGTGACCAGGACTCCGATCATGACACCTGCTACAGGGTTCTTCAGTATGTCGCTTCTCTGAAACACCTTGCCTGCTGTTTCACCTGCGGATGTTTTTCGTAAATTAATATTTACTAGATTTTACTGCGTAATTCTTGTAAAATGCAGTCACCACATAAGGCTACATATATAAATTAGCATTGAGAGGAAATTAGAGTGGATAATAATGTTTCACACGATATATAAATATATATCGAATGTAAATGTTATAATTAATTTTAAAGGCTAATATATTTACAACCGCGTTAATTTTTAGCCTCACTACTTTTATTCGTACCCAGTGAGAAAGTAAGCAGTTTCTGATGGTTAAAACAATCTTTTTGATCATCATATATTCATCATCTTGTTCTTCGTCTTCATCATGTTTCTTCTTCTTCTTCTTCATCTTCTTCTTCTTCTTCTTTTTCTTTTTCTTTTTCTTGTTACCCTCCTCCTCATCCTCCTCCCTCTCATTCCATTCATTATCCTATGCCTCTTCTATCCCTCTTTCTTCTTCATCTTCTTCTTCGTATATTTCTTCTCCTTCTTCCTCTTATCCTATACGTCATCATATGCTTCCATTAAACTTCTTCTTTTTCTACCCTCCTTCTTTTTCTTCTTCTTCTTCTTCTTCTTCTTCTTCTTCTTCTTCTTCTTCTTCTTCTTCTTCTTCTTCTTCTTCTTCTTCTTCTTCTTCTATTTCTTCTTCTATTTCTTCTTCTTCTTCTTTTTCTACGATTGCAACTACTACTACTACTACTACTACTACTACTACTACTACTACTACTACTACTACTACTACTACTACTACTACTACTACTACTACTACTACTACTACTACTACTACTACTACTACTATTACTACTACTACTACTACTACTACTACTACTACTACTACTACTACTACTACTACTACTACTATTACTACTTCTACTACTACTACTACTACTACTACTACTACTACTACTACTACTACTACTACTACTACTACTACTACTACTACTACTACTACTACTACTACAACTACTACTGTTACTACTATTTCTTCTTCTTCTTCTTCTTCTTCTTCTTCTTCTTCTTCTTCTTTCGGTTCTTCTTATTCGTCCTCATCTTTTCCACCTCTTCCTCTTCTTTTCCTTTGTTTATGTTTCTACTACCTTAACCGAAAATTGTAACACGCATAATACAAATACGTATAGCATGTTCAATAAAATTACTGATCTTGTACGTACTTACCACCAAGTAGTCTAAAGGCGGAACTTAAAAAATCCAGCGAGCAGATGAAAATGTACAGACATCCAAGAACCAGTATAATTTTCAAGGTATATGCCACAACTCGGAGCTGTTTGTCTCTTCTCGATAATTCTGGGAACAAACCGAGAGCGTTTATTAAAACATGAACCGAAAAAACCTGGAGTTAAAAGGACACAAGATGACTTTACGTGTGTCTACTTCTTAGAGTCCATGTCGCAAAATCTTCTGTCTTGTGTACTTTCAGTCAACTCTGACACATATTATCTTCCATGCCATGATGTCAGACTGTCCAGTATCTTTTCTCTCTGTCTGCCTCTGCCTCTCCTCCCCTCCAGCTTTCCTGCTGTCACAGTGTACTCCAGTTTTCTCCTTCTCATCACATGACCAAAGAATGTAGATTGTCTCTTTCTGATGTGGGTAATTAGTTTCATTTGTGAGTAAGTTTCTTTCAAGACTGACTGACTTTTTACCCCACCAGGACATCATACAAGCGATAAATACCCGGTGACACAAAGTGCCATCATGAGAATATGGATCATATTTATGCCCCGGCTATATTTAGATCCCCTGGCAGAAGCCAGGGTGGTGCTATAAATAACGAAAAATTGCATCCCACATGGCCTTAGGCAACAAATGAACAAACTCAGGTGTAATTGCTCACCACAAAGGAAGATAAATAAAATAAGATAGCAAAGGAACCGTCCTTGATAAAGCAGGCCATCAGGCGGCTAAAAAAGGACTAAGCTTGGAATTTTTGTTTGATTTTATACGATACGATCGCACATGGAGATGACTGATAATTATCTAATTTGCAAGACTCTTCATTACTCTTTTTATCTGTCCATGTTAATCTCATCATTCGTGTTTAAGATACATAAATTCGTATGCTACTATTTATATACATTATCATATTGTTTTAGGTGAAATAGATGAGTAGCTAGTCAAGTAATTAATCTGTTTAGCTAAAGTGCGGAGTTTTTTTTTTTTTTTTGGTCGGCTCAAAAGTAAACATCCTAGCTGCCACAGTTCGTTGAGATTGCAGAAGCCACACTAGCATATTTATTAGGCTCAATACTCGCTGCCTCTACACTGTCATAAAATGACAAGGATGATGACTGATGATAATTGATGATAAAGATGGTTAGTGATGGTGTCGATAATGATGACGACGGTGACTGATGGTGATGATGATGATGGTGATTTATGATGATGAGGATGACATTTTAATGACTGATGATGCTGATTAACAGTGATGATGATTGATGATGATTGATGATGATGATTGATGATGATGACAACTGTATTGGGTAGGAAATCCTATAAAAGTCATTAGGGGTTCCCCAGTGTGGCGGCTTTAAGAGTCAAGGGCCTGTTAAGAATGAATTAGCGGGGGAGCGGGTACAAAGTAAGCTGGTGATTTCTCATGGACGAGTGAGTGATTGTAAGCAGAAACTCATGGACGAGAAGAAAGGATTGGACGCGGGGAAGGAGGAATGATCAGCTGGTGTTCAACAGTGAGAGAGAAGCGTCGGGTTGAATGAGAAGAGTGTCTGCCGTGAATCGTGTTCGCTGACAGTGGGATCCAATATGTTTTATGCAGTGAATATGGCTCAGCCGGGGATGACACTGTGTTGAACGATCGGTGCTTCATTAAGTTCCCAACCCCCCGATGACGCCACCTGGCCAGTCCAACATTTTAGAGGGTGTTAAGACTGGGTTTCCTTGCTTTCTGATGCTTTTAATGACCCCAAAACATCTAGAACTGGCCCTAACCCCAACCCAACTACATCCCACGAGAGAGTGCAGACTGCATGCAGCCGAGGTCCCACCACTATATGCAGCCTACCTACCACCCCCTAAAATATTAGAATGTCCCATGATCTGTGGATTTCCACTGTTTGGGGTAGCATATTAATAAGCACTGAACAATCGAGTAGCCGAGAATAATTGTTGTGCCTAGCATCAGATACAAGGTACTGTTCTGAATGGAATGTCTAGATTACAGGGTAGCTGAACTGTTGTTAGCGCTGTAGATCTGAAGTTGTAGCAGCTGTGGCATATTCCTAGAAGAACGAGTGGTGAGTAAGGGCTCAGCGCTCAGCCGTCGCAGCTATTGGAACAGCAATAAACCATTTATTGTAACCTTGAGTGTCGTCATCTGGTGTGTTTGTTACTGGCTCAACGAGGCGGGAGAAAGTAGAACTAAGGTCTCTATTGGTCAAGAGTTAAGCCAAGGTTCCACATTACACCGACGATGACTAAACAAATTAATGCTTGTATCAGGAAGTTTAGGAAGTCGCCATGGCGTTGGCGGCTAGACGCCCGCCTGCGGATCGGAAGGTCATAGGTTCGCGTCCTGATGAAGCCGGGCTTTTTGTTTCTTCAAAAATGACTGTGACCCCCAGGTTGATCCAGATTCGAGTGAGTACCAGGTGCAGTCCTGGGAAGTAAAGGCAGCCCCTCCAGGAGCAAAGGGATCCAGGAAATCACACGGGCTAAATGCATATTAATTCGTTTTAAATTTATTTCTCCCCCCCCCCCCCCATTCCATTGCCTCTACGGTTTCCGTGAAACATTTTATTATTTAGCGACATACCATTCCTAAACTACTGAATGTAAAATTTGCCCCCCACACACACACAAAACCCAACAGCAAAAAATGCTAAGCTTGGTTCTACACCAGCTTGTTAATGATACGCAACTAACTAACTAACTAACTAACTAGCTAACTAACTAACTAACTAACTAACATACCATTCCAGGGAGTATAACTAACATTAATCCTTGTGACTTGCCACGGATCGTCTTCATCTGCCAACTCAATCCTTGTGTTCTTGCCAACATCATCAAATTCTTGTGACTGTTTTCTTCCGTCTGTGAACTTCTGACTGTTCGCTCTCTTGTAAGATGCACTGTCAGCCTACCAAAAAACGGTAAACAACACTAGTGTCAGTCAAGAGGGAAACTTTGCAGTTTGTGCTCGTTGCCTTCTCATGAGTAAAGTTTTACCCCGCTAAGACTTCTCACTGAGCGATTAGCACCCGGTGACACTTGTCATGTGTCATTAATCCCCCCGGTTCGAATCTTATGACAAATAAGCCTTTAGGCGCATCGGGCATACGGGAAGAGCATCTATATTTTTAGAGACCAATCGGCACTAGGTGGGTAGCGGTACGTTAGAATTACGAGTCGGGTTCGCAACGCCTAAGCCACTGATAAATAATAAACATTAAACATTTCTCCTGCTCTCTTCATAATAAAAGCAAGATAGTCCTTGTTTCAGAGCATTTTCTTTATCACAGTGTCAATTATTCCTTATCTATCTCTTTATCTTCTTTTACCCCACCAGGACATCACACACGCTACAAACACAGAGTGCCACGATGCGGAGGAGGATCACCAGTTGAGAGGTCCAAGAAACCGCCTTCAGCTATTAGACCATATCTATGGCCAGGCTATATTGCGGCCCCTGGCAAGAGCCAGAGTAGGGCTTTAAATAAAGAAAAATTACATCTCAAAAGAGATGTCAAGATTACAGTTATTCCGCTTAGGTCTGGCACTTAGATCACGTTCCATTATAGTAGCGCTGGGGACAAGATTTGTGCAACGGTGCCGTTACTGCGTGCTGTTGCGCACCCTATTGGGAAAAGGACATTCATTGCAGAACAGACTGAGCGACTACCTCAGAGTAAATTTTAAAAAGACCAGAGAGCACATATGTTTTTATTACTAAAATACTTTTTACTCCTATTGATTTTCATATTCTCTGTTGTACTGAAAACATTCAGCAGGCACTGACCTCAGGTTTTCCGTTTGCTGTTGTGATACTGTCGCCATCGTGTATGAATCCATTATTCTCCATAATATTCCTAAGAAAATTAAATAAAGAAACACATTTATTTTAAAGCATTTTTTTTTTTAACTGAAATTGTCAGTTTTCAGGAATATTATTTTTTAAAATGTTACCTGGGTCATTTGCTGCTGACTGAAAGTGTGGGATCCAGGCTAAAACAAAACTTTATTTTCTTTACAACAACATAAAAAGGTGTCTCTTAACAAGCATGTCGTAGAAGGTGTCTAATTATGGGTGTTTCTTTGGAAGTCGGACTGCATCTGCATGAGAGACAAGGAACTAACAATCTGTGTACAAATAGGCTAGATCTGTAAAACTCAATTTGTGCAAAAAGTTGGACGTCACGTGACAAACCTCATGTCGGGTCACGGGTTCGAGGCGGGGAATGACAGAAAAGCCGCATATTCCCCAGATTAACCGCGTACGTGGCACCGAGACTGAAGGATTTTGATGCTCACGACACTGAGGCAAATGAGCTATGCTCACGTGCTTTTAGTGAGATAAAAATAACAGAAGGCGAACAACAAGAACTTTCCCCTAGGGTTTACAATCAATGAACACCACACTGAACTAGAAGAAGAAGAGTAGTTTAGACAGAAAAATCAAACTAACAGTAAACATCCACAAGACCCCATTAGCAGACTCAACATAAATCAACATACAACAATTCTCCGTCAACGACAAGACACTGCAAGCTCAATTACCAATGCATAAAATTAAGATTGCACAGTCCCCAGAGTGTGCCTGTCAGACAGGACCCCAAACACCTGAGTACATTCTGCAGACCTGCCCACTCTACAGACAACTTCGAAAAGAAACCTGGCCTCAAGAGCAAAGTGTGCAGAGCAAGCTATGGGGAACCATGAAGTACCTGCTGCTGACAGGCGAGATCATAGAGGCAACCCACCTGATGGTCTGATCTGAGCATAGGAAACCGAACGCAAAGAAGAAGAAGAAACAGAAAAAAAAAATTGTAAAAGACATAATACACATGGGACAGAACATGGATAGCCCCCTCATGCGTCGTGGGGAGGAACATATTTATATCCATTGGCAGTAATGGCTTTTGTCATTTAGTGTCGATGTGTAATCTCTTTAATGTCATCAATCTATTTTCTCATTGGTCTACCTCTTAGTTTCACATCAAATCTGTTCATGTGTAGTGCCTGCGCTAGTAGATGTTCTGTCTGCATTCTTATTAAATGACCAAACGATTTGATTGTCTGTTTCTCAGTGAATTTGCTTCTTAAGGCGATCTCTGATTTTGTGAATTTCTGTTGTAACGAACAGAATCTATATCCTCTGCAATTTTTCTAGACTAAACGCTTATCTAGATAAGAGGATTTTCTAATAAGAAGAACAATTTCTTGGCTCCCGATGAGTTCTCCTTATAAGGTCAGCAATGTAATAGGTTTTTATACTACACTTACTATTGATGCTGCTGTTACTCCTCCTAGAAGCACACTGTAGCAACTATTAATTCTACTGTTTCTACTACTTCTACTGAACTACTGCTATCGGTAATTTGAATGAAAAAAAAAGCAACTACAAGAGTGACGAAGTGGTCAAGCCGTGAGCCTTGCACTCTGAAGGTTGCCGGTTCGTTTCAGGAACTCGTCGTTCAGTTCATGAGGGCAGGTTTTACAGGAAACTCCAGAGATCGTAACTGCCGCTCTGTGGAGAGCTACCGAGCCCCGTGTGATGATTCCGGTGCAATTAAATCGATGCTCCCAACATTACCCCAGATCAGTTGAGAAATCAGCAGCCGATGTGGTATAACGTTTAGACGCTCGCCTAAGGATTGAAGGTCGTGGGTTCACTTCTAGGCGTAGTAGGCTTCTTTAGGTTTTTTTTTTGTTTGTTTTTTTCAAAATTGAATTTGACTCCCAGGTCGACCCAGCCTTAAATGGGTACAAGGTAAAGTTCTAGGAAGTAAAGGCAGCCTGTGTAATGCTGACCACATCACCCACAGAGTGCTGGTTGGTCTATAAAATATAAGGTTTATTCCTGCAGCCTGCACAGTTACCATATCAACTGATATATCTGTTTATATGCTACTGTAAATAAATAAAATATTATTTTAAAAAATTAAACAACAGCTCAGAGATAGATAATTTCCATAAACACAACTATTGCAATAACACAGAGGTAACCTTGAATGTAGACAACAATAGTCCACTGTTAAGGGCAAATCCGCTGTTTAGGGCATCAACTACCAACAATTCTTAGAGGTGGCAGAAGAGATACACAGCATTTACCGTGTTGTAGAAAGGCTGGAGTGCGTGCGTACAGAGACTAGGAACATCACATATAAATCACTGTCAACCGAAATCTGCACGGTGTCACCAACTTGAAGCTGTTGTTTGTGTTGGAGTCATGAACGAACGTGGCAGCCTCGTTGGACATAAGGAAGGAGAGACAAAGGGGCCTGTCATTTCTGTACGTAGACAAAAACATTTAACCCCTACCACCTGATCTTTTAAAAATATGTTTTAAACTCATTTTTCTT